TTCTTCTAATTAATTTCCTTTCAATGTGCATGAATCCGTGCAGCAGGCCAATAGTTGTAAATAATGCTGCAATGAACATAGGGGTGCATATATTCTTTCATTTTAGTATTTTGAATTTCATTGGGTATATACCCAGAATGGAATTGCTGGGTCATGAGACAGTTCTATTTTTAATTTTTTGAAGAACCTCCATACTGTTTTTCATAGTGACTGCACTAATCTGTATTTCCACCAACAGTGCAAGAAAGTCCCCTTTTCTCTACATCCTCTCCAACACTGGTTGATTTGTTGATGACACAGTTTCTGACAAGTGTGAGGTGATATGTCATCATGGTTTTAATTTGCATCTCTCTGATGATTAATGAGGTTGATCATCTTTTCCTATTTCTTTTGGCCATCTGTATGTCCTTTTGGGAGGAGTGTCTATTCAGGTCCTCTACCCATTTTTTAAATTGAATTGGTTATTTTTTTGTTTTTTTGGGGGGGATGTTGAGTGGTATGAGTTTTTTATAAATTTTGGATATTAACCCCTCATTGGATATATCATTGGTGAATAACTTCTCCCATTTAGCAGGTTGTCTTTTCATTTGTTGATGGTTTTTTCACTGTTAAAAAACCTTTTTAGTTTGATGTAGTTCCATTTTGTTTATTTTTTCTTTTGTTTCCTTGCCTTAGGAGATATATTAGAAAAAAAGTATTGCTAAGAGAAATGTCAGAGATTTTACTGCCTATGTTTTCTTCTAGGAGTTTTGGGTTTCAAGTTTTACATTTAAGTCCTTAATCCATTTTGAGTTTATTATATGGTATAAGAAAGTGGTCTAGTTTCATTCATTGCATATATCTATTTTTTCCAGCACCATTTTTTTTTGACTAGACTGTCTTTATCCTATTGAATGTTCTTTCTATATTAATTGGCCATATAAGTGTGGGTTTATTTCTGGCCTCTCTACTCTGTTCCATTGATCTGTGTGTCTGTTTTTATGCCAGAACCATGCAATTTTATTATAGTCTTATAGTTTGAAATTAGGAGTGTGATACCTCTAACTTGTTCTTTCTCAAGATTGCTCTGGCTATTCGGGGTCTTTTGTGGTTTCATATAAATTTTTGAATTATTCTAGTTCTGTAAAAATTCCATTTGTATTTTGATAGGGATTGCATGGAATCTACAGATTGCTTTAGGTATTATGGGCATTTTAATTGTTAATTCTTCCTATCCATAAGCACAGTATATGTTTCCATTTGTTTGTATCTTCTTCAATTTCTTTCTTCAGTGTCTTAAAATTTTCCAAATTACCGGTACTTTACCACCTTGGTTAAATTTATTCCTAGGTATTTTATTTTATTTTGATGCAATAGTAAGTGGGATTGTTTTCTTAATTTCTCTTTCTGATAGTTCAGGGATTTTCAATCATTATCATCTCATGGCACGCATAACTAATTACTAAATTTCTGCGGCATCCCAAAAACATTTTTTGCTGATCTGAACAAAAAAAAAATCTAATTTTGATTTATTCAAATTGGAGGGCTGCTGTTGTGTTGGCTGTTGTCATTTTTTTATTTGACAATCTAAGGGAAAAGAGGTCATTGCCCCTGACTAGTCAGGTATTGCATGTTTTAAAAATCCTTGCAGCATACTGGTTGAAAGTGCTGTGATAGTTCATTATCTCTCTATATAAAAGCCTAATATGCAAATTGTCCCCTTGGGAGTTCGACCAGGAGACCAGGAGTTCGATTGCTCGCTATGACGTGTCCTGACCACCAGGGGGTGGCACAGAACGAAGAAAGGCCCTGGTTGACAGCTGAAAGGAAGGCCCTGATCGGCCCTGACTGCCAGCCAGGACCCTACCCATGCATGAATTTCATTTACCGGGCCTCTAGTTGGCATATAAAAATGCTACCAATTTCTAAATATTTATTTTGTGTCCTGCTGCTTTAATGAATTCATTTATCAGTTCTAGTTTTATGGTGGAATCTTTAGGGTTCTCTATATACAGTATCACGTTGTCTGCAAATAATGACAGTTTTATTTCTTCCTTTCCAATTTGGATGCCTTTTATTTCTTCTTCTTGCCTGATTGCTATGGCTAGGACTTCCAGTACTATGCTAAATAAGAGTGGTGAAAGTGGATATCCTCGTCTTGTTCCTAATCTTAAGGGAAACACTTTTAGTTTTTCCCTACTGAGTGCAATGTTAGTTGTGGGTTTATCGTATATATGACCTTTATTATGTTGAAGTATGTTTCCTCTATTCCCACTTGCTAAGAGTTTTTATCATAAATGGATGCTGGATTTTGACAAAAGCCTTTTCTGCATTATTGATATTATACTTTTTATTTTTCAGTTAGTTTATGTGGTGTATCACATTATTTGTGGATTTTGTACCAACCTTGCATCCTAGGATGAAATCTCACTGTACCATGGTGTATGATCTTTTTAATGTTTTACTTAATTCAGTTTGATAATATTTTATAGATGATTTTTTGCATCTATGTTCATCAGGGATATTGGCCTATAATTTTTTTTCTTTGTAGTATCTTTATCTGATTTTGGAATTAGGATAATGCTGGCCTTGTAAAATGAGATTGGGAGTTTTCCCTCCTCTTGAATTTTTTGGAATAATTTGAGAAGAACAGGTGTTAGTCAGTCTTGAAATGTTTGGTAAAATTCACCTGTGAAGCCAACTGGTCCAGAACTTTTGTTTGCTGAGAATTTTTTTGAATACTGCGTTGATTTCATTAGTTATAATTAATCTGTTCAGATTTTCTGTTTCTTTTTGATTCACTTTTGGAAGATTGTATTTTTCTAGGAATTTATTCATTTCCATATTGTCCAATTTGTTGGCATATAGTTACTCATAATTTCTCATAATCCTTTGTCTATTTGTGGTGTCAGTTGTTACTTCTTTCATTTCTGATTTTATTTATTTGGGTCCTCTCTTTTTCTTAATGAGTCTGGTTAAAGATTTATCAGTCTTGTTTATCTTTACAAAGAAGCAGCTCTTGGTTTTATTAATCTTTCTTCTTCTTTTTTTAGACTCTATTTTGTTTATTTCCACTTGATCTTTATTATTTCCTTCCTTCCACTCACTTTGGACTTTGTTCTTTTTCTGGTTCCTCTAGGTGTAAGGTAAGATTGTTTATTTGAGATTTTTCATGTTTCTTTTATTGTTAATCCTCACCCGAGGATATTTTTCCATTGAATTTTAGAGAGTGTGGAAGAGAGGGGGAGAGACAGAGAGAGAAACATCGATTGGTTGCCTTCCACACCCCGACCAGGGCCAGGGATTGAGCCTAAAACTGAGGTGTGTGCCCTTGACCTGAATTGAACCCAGGACCCTTCAGTTCACAGGCTGACGCTCTATTCACTGAGCCAAATCGGGTAGGCAAGATTTTTCATGTTTCTTGAAGTAGGACTGTAATTCTATGAATTTCCCTCTTAGGACTGCTTTCACTGTATCTCATCGATTTAGGGTTGTTGTGTTTTCATTTTTATTTGCCTCAGGG